TAGATGTGCTTTAACAGAATGAAACTTTTCTTGGCCATTGATGTAACCGGTTAGATATGCGTTAACAGAACGATACTTATCTTGGTAACCGGTTAGGAAGCCTCTTGTGTTCGAATAGTTGGCCTTTACTAAAGAAGTCCCTCAGCAGATGTAACCGGTTAGGAAAAATCCTCTAACTGGTTAGATGAGATCCAATCTCACTTATTCTAATTTTTAGAAACTGAAGCAGATCGGAAGTTGATACATTTATTGCTCTAACGGTCACACAAACATTTAATGCTCTTCAACCTACCTCAACAGATATTTTTTGAGCAATTAATGCATTTCATTTTTCTTCAACTATATAAAAAGACAAGCATTGAAGAAGGCAAGGGCGCGGTTGAGAGAATTCAAAAATATCATTCAAAGCATTTACTCAAGCATTCATTTCACTCAACCATACCAACTTGAGCTTCATTTTAATCCATCTATTACTCTAGTCTTGTGAGCTTACATTTGTACATCTATCTTGAGAGAGATTCATTCTTGTATCACAACTATAATTTCTTATACAAACTTGTAAGGGTTGGTGTAACCCAAAGAATCCTAGAAGAAGGGTGTTCTTCTAGTGAAGAGGAGAAGCAAGTGTTTGCTTCATGTAAAGGTTTGCTCTCCACCCGTAAGGAGAAGCCATAGTGGATTGGGAAGTCTCAAGAGGAGTCTTGAGCCGAGGAGTAGGAGTTTCTGAACCTCGCTAAAATCTCCTAGTCATTGTTTGCAATTTCTCTACCCTTATCTCTTTTACAATTGTACTATTAATTGTTTACTTTCATATCTTATATGTTGCATAACTGTTTGAATGGTAGAATAAAATTTGCAAATCTATAAATTACGAAAATTGGCCATTGACTCTATTCACCCCCCCTCTAGAGTCAATTAGTGGTTAACAATTGGTATCAGAGCCTAATCTCTAGTTAAAGATCTAACCATCTTAGAGAACGATCATGGCCAATTTTTATCAAGAAGGTCAATCTAACAATAGACCTCTTGGTTTGATGGTAATGATTATAATTATTGGAAAATCAAAATGAGAGCATTTCTAAGAGGCTTAGATATTGATGCTTGGAAAGCCACTGAACTAGGTGATCATATTCCGACCAAAACTGTTGAAGGGAAAATAATCCCCAAAACAGATGATGAGTGGACTCTAAATGAGTGTAGGCTTGTACAATGTAATGTCATGGCTATTACAAATCTTTATTATGCTCTTAGTAAAGACGAATTCAATAGATTTTCAGATTGTGAGACGGCCAAAGAGATTTAGGATAAACTTGAAATTACATATGTTGGCACTAGTCATGTTAAGGAATCTAAAATGAATATGCTTGTCCATAAATATGAACTATTTACCATGAATAATAAAGAAACAATAAGTGAAATGTATTCTCATTTTACTAACATTGTCAATCCTTTGAAGGCTCTTGGAAAGTCATATACAACTTCTGAAAATGTGAGAAAAATTCTCAGGTCTTTGCCCAAGAGTTGGGAAGCCAAGAAAACTGCTATTCAAGAAGCCAAAAATCTCAACACGCTTCCTATTGATGAACTCATTGGTTCCTTAATGGCATATGAGCTAGAGATGAATGATGGGGATGACAACAAAGAAGTCCATAAGAAGGATCTAGCTCTTCCAGCCACTATGAAAGAAGTTGAAGTTGAGAAAGCTATTGATAATGAAGAAGAAGAAAAAATTGCTCTCATCACCAAAACCGTGAGAAGAGTTCTTCAAACGAAGAAGTTTCAAAAGAGCAACAATCTCAAAAGAAGTGGTCCAACAAGTGAGCATGGAAAAAGAGAAGCACCTACTTGCTTTCATTGCGGAAAAACGGGGCACTTTAAATCAGATTGCTATGCATATAAAAATGAAAAGGAACGGAAAAAGAAGGCCCAAGCCTTGCGAGCTACATGGGAGGATGATAATTCAAATGGATCCGAAAGTGATGATGAAATCAATGAGTTGGTCAATCTTTGTCTCATGGCTAATGAAGATGAGGTAAATTCGAACCATGATTCACTTTATTTAGAAAATACTTATGATGAATTAGTAGATGCTCACAATTACTTACTTGATGCTTTCAAAGAATTGCATGATGAATTAGGTAAGATGGTTCAAAAGTGTGCTAGTCTTAAGAGAGAAAAATACATTATTTCTCAAAAGCTTGAAAAATCTCTTTCTGAAAATGAAACTTTGAAAAAGGAAAAAGAATGTGAGCTTGTAAAAGAATTAGCTTCTATTGATTTGGCCTCTGAAAATGAGTCCTTAAAGATCATAATTAAGGATCAAATCGAGACTCTAGCTAAGTTCACAAAAGGTAGAGAAAACTTAAATCTTATGTTTGGTAAACAAAGAAATGCTTATGCTAAGGATGGACTTGGATATGACCCTTATAACAAAGAATCTTATTTGATAAAAGAAAGAAAACCTTTAAGTGATCATTTTGTTAGAAATACATCTCAAAATTCAAAATGTAATTATTGCAAGAATATAGGACATAAAATTAATCATTGTCCCACTAGGCCATGCAAGACAAAAGAAATTTGGGTAATTAAAGGAACTTATGAGCTTCTTCCTAACTCCCATAGACCCAAGAAAAGGTGGGTACCAAAAGAAGATTATCTAAATTATTTTTGTAGGGTTGCTTGAAGGCTTCCTCCTTATTCAAGGATAAGTGGTTCCTGGACAGTGGATGCTCTAGACATATGATGGGAGATCAATCAAATTTCATCTCTATCAAGCCCCACAAAGGAGGAAGCGTCACCTTTGGAGACAACTCAAAAGGCAAGGTTATTGGTATTGGATCTATCGGTATTTCTTCTTCCCTATCCATTGATGATGTGTTGCTTGTTAAAGGTTTAAAACATAATTTGCTTAGCATTAGTTAATTATGTGATAAAGGCTATGATGTACTATTTAAATCAGATAAGTGTATGGTGAAAAAGGATAATAATGATATATTTCATGCTCGTAGAAATGGAAATGTGCATACCTTATTTCTATGTGAATTATATGATCAAGATGTTAAATGCCTTGTGTCTTCAAATGAGAATAGTTGGTTGTGGCATAGAAGACTAGGTCATGCTAGCATGGATCTAATTTCAAAATTATCTAAACAAGAATTAGTCAAAGGCCTCCCAAAGACTAATTTCTCTAAGGATAAAACCTGCAGTGCATGTCTAAAGGGCAAACAAATTAAGTCATCATTCAAAAGGAAAAAAGGATATAACATCATCAAGACCTTTTGAACTAATTCATATGGATTTATTTGGTCCAGAAAGAGTAGCTAGCCTTGGTGGTAAACTATATGCTTTTGTTATTGTTGATGATTTTTCTAGATTCACTTGGGTATTCTTTCTTTCTTATAAAAATGAAACTTATGCTATATTCTCAAAATTCTGTAAAAGAGTTGAGAACGAAAAGGAATACAAAATTAAGACCATCGGAAGTGACAGAGGAAGAGAGTTTGATAATCAAGATGTTGAAAGTTTTTGTGATGAAAATGGTTACAATCATAATCTATCGGCCCCTAGAACTCCTGAACAAAATGGAGTCGTTGAGAGAAAGAATAGATCTCTCCAAGAAATGGCTAGAATTATGTTAAATAAGCATTCATCTCTTAGATCTTTATGGGCCGAGGCCGTTAATACTGCATGTTATGTCATTAATAGAGTCATCATTAGAAAACTTCTTAATAAAACTCCTTATGAACTTTGGAACAAAAGGAAGCCAAACATTGGTTATTTTAAAGTTTTTGGGTGTAAGTGTTTTGTACTAAATGACAGGGATAACCTAGGAAAATTTAAACCTAAGTCAGATGAAGGAATTTTCTTAGGTTACTCATCTCGAAGTAAAGCCTTTAGAGTATTCAACAAAAGGACATGTGTGGTTGTCGAGTCCATACATGTTGTATTTAATGAATCACCTCTGTCTCTTTCTAGAGGTTCTTTGGATGATAATGAGGATATAGTGGAAATTGAAAAGAGTATTGAAACTCTTGACATAAGCAATTCACCTTTTGATGATCTCTCCATAGATAATTCAAAAGAATGTCATCCTCATAAAGTCACTCTTTCTAAGGATTGGAAGCAAGTGCCAAATCATCCAATAAATCAAATCATTGGCGATCCATCCAAAGGTGTTCGCACAAGATCTCAAATTACCAATATATGCAACTATGTAGCTTTTGTCTCTCAACTTGAACCTAAAAATATCCTTGAAGCTGAAAAAGATGAGTCTTGGGTTATGGCTATGCAAGAAGAGCTTAATCAATTTGAAAGAAATGAAGTTTGGAAATTAGTTCCTAGACCTAAAAATAAGACAATCATTGGCACAAAATGGGTTTTTAGAAACAAAAAGGATGAATTAGGTTCAATCGTAAGGAACAAGGCTAGACTTGTTGCTCAAGGGTTTAATCAAGAAGAGGGAATTGACTATGATGAAATCTTCGCTCCCGTAGCAAGACTTGAAGCTATTAAAATGCTTCTTGCATTTGCTTCACATAAAAATTTCAAGCTTTATCAAATGGATGTAAAAAGTGCCTTTCTAAATGGCTTCATTGAGGAAGAAGTACATGTGGAACAACCACTGGGTTTTGAAAGTTATGATCATCCCAACCATGTTTACAAATTGTCAAAGGCTCTATATGGATTAAAACAAGCTCCAAGAGCTTGGTATGAAAGATTAAGTGGTTTCCTTCTTGATAACAATTTCAATAGAGGGAAAATTGATAACACTCTTTTTACAAAGACCATTAATGGCAATCTCTTAATTATTCAAATTTATGTTGATGATATCATCTTTGGATCATCAAATAAAGTTCTTCGTGAAAAGTTTGCCTCAAGCATGCAAAATGAGTATGATGGGCGAACTTACGTTTTTCCTAGGGTTGCAAATCAAACAAGAACTTGACGGCATCTTTATTTGTTAATCCAAGTATGTCAAAGATTTGCTAAAGAAATTTGGCATGGAGGATGTCAAACATGCCAAAACTCCCATGAGTTCCTCGGTAAAACTAGACAAAGACGAGAAAGGAAAAGATGTTGATATCAAAAAATATAGAGGCATGATTGGTAGTCTTCTATATTTGACTACAAGTAGACCAAACATAATGTTTAGTGTATGCTTATGTGCTCGATTCCAATCTTGTCCTAAAGAATCACATCTATATGCTGTTAAAAGAATATTTCGTTACTTATGTGGAACTATTAATCTGGGTTTATGGTTTCCTAGTCATACTACGTTTGATCTTACAAGTTATTCGGATGCCGACTTTGCTGGATGCAAAATTGACAGAAAAAGTACCAGTGACACTTGCCAGATCCTTGGTCATTCACTTGTTTCATGGTCATGTAAGAAACAGAACTCCGTTGCTCTATCCACAGTAGAGGCCGAGTATCTTGCCGCAGGGAGCAGTTGTGCTCAAGCTCTTTACATCAAATGGCAACTTGAAGACTATGGTATTTTCTTTGACCATATTCCAATTATGTGTGATAATACTAGTGCAATTTGTATTTCCAAAAATCCAATTCAGCATTCTTGAACCAAGCATATAGAAATCCGTTATCACTTTCTCAGAGACCATGTGACAAAAGGAGACATTGAACTTGTGTTTGTAAATTCCAATAAACAATGGGCTGATATATTCACTAAACCTCTTCAAGAAGACAACTTTCTTACAATTCGAAGAGAATTGGGAATGACAAATATCTCTGAAATTTGACTATTCTGTGATAAGTTATCTAACCGGTTATATAATTCCTCCTAACCGGTAAGATGAACTAAACCCAGTGACTGATACTTAAGCTCTCTATTCATCTAACCGGTTAACAAATTTCCTTCTAACCGGTAAGATAAGCAAAGACCAGTAGCCTCACATTCTCATTCACTTTCCATCTAACCGGTTACCAAACTCCCTTCTAACCGGTTACCAAACAACATCTAACTGGTTACATTGTCCTGCAAATCTCTTCTAATCGGTTAGATAAAGCAACATAACCGGTTACTTAAAGATCTAGATCTAAACTAATCGATCAGATCTCATCATCTAACCGGTTACATTCATTAAAATCATAAAGATTCTTAGTCATCTAAACGGTTACCACAAGGGATCTAACCGGTTACTTTAGATACAAATCTAAAGTACTCGAGTACTTCCCTCAATTTAACTGGTTAGTTGTTCATTTAGTATAAAAACCATACGTCACTTTCACCAGTCCTAATCGAACACATTTCTTTCTCTACTCGAACACTTCATCATCTTCTTCCCCAACCCTCAATCCAGTCACCATGGTTCGTACTCGACGAAGTCTTCATCCTAAAAATGTCCCCATTCACGGTGGTCACAGTGGTCGTGGCTCCGGCAGAGGCAATCCTCAATCATCTTTTTCCTTCCTTAGGAGAAGAGTACAATCCATCCTCCTCCACTGCTCAAATACGAAAGCGCAAGCGGACTAAAAATCAAGAAGAAATCTCTCAAGATGAAAATCCAGTCCTTGCTGCTTCCTATCTCTCACGAGAAATGGAATTGCTATTCAACACTCGGTTTCGCAACAGAGGGGTGTCTCAAGGTCGAATTTTTGATGCCGATTTCTGCATACGAGAAAATCTATCGTTCTACGACAAATTTTGGGCCTTGGGGTGGGATTTATTCATAGGAATTGAGGAACCCTACTATCCCACTCTCATTCAAGTCTTCTACACCAATCTCAAACTCAAAGACAGCTACCTTCACTCACAGGTCAAAGGTGCGAACATCAAGTTTAACTATAAAACCCTAAATTCCATCTTGGGCATTGAAAACAAGGGAAAGAAGATTTATGCTCACAGATCTAAGATTGAGGTTGATTGGTATAGTGAGATGATGGCAGTATTGCATCTCACTCAGAATTTCTTCCGGACAAAGATTTTTCCTCTCACCTCTACGGATTTCACCGTTGAAGCCGTCTAATTCATAATGCTTTGTTCTATTGTGTCATCCCTTGAGGCAGTGGCAGAACTTATGTATCCCATTTGGATCTGTTCTTGATTTGGTGCATTACTTTGGGCATTCAGCTCAATTTGGGCTATATTATTTTTCAGCACCTTCTTCAGTTCATTGTAGATCCGGATGACACTACCTCCACTCCTGGGAAAACTGGCAAACTTGCCACATTGCCCTATGGCATGTTTCTAACTCGACTATTTAAACACTTCAACGTCCCTCTTGACTCAGAATTCCACAAAAAGGACTCCACTTGTGAAGACAGGCTGTCCTTAAAAATTTTTAAAAATATGCAGTGTCGCAAAGTCAATGGAGTCTGGGAAAGACTTCCTGCAGCTCGTGCACCTGATGCTCCTACACCCAAGGCCGATCCTGTTCAGCACCAGGCATTTGACTTTGACAATTTTGATGACTTCTTTGCAGAAGGTCCCATAGTGCCACAGCCTCAGCCTCCCATTCCTCCAGAGGTGACTCAGCTACTTAATGATCAGCATGCCGAGACTATGGTGGCTATCCAAGCCCTAGGTGATAGAGTCACCACTCTTGAGACTCGCGCTGGCAGTGTTGGGAAGTCCCTCATCTCTCGCTCCCATAATCAATCATCCGATCTCAATATTGTCATTCAGCGCGCTATGGAGACCTATGATCTCATTGAATACCGGCTGGCTGTCCACAATGCTAATGCTGAAAGTATGAAGGATTTTCTAAAATTGGTGGCTGAGCGCATTCAAATCATTCCTCCGAGATTTGTGTTTCCAGAACAGCGTCATTGATCTGATGTCCCACCTCCTCGTCCCAAGCCCCGTGACCCCGTAGTTGAAATTAATGATTGACATGATTATTCCTAGATAGTTTTATTTTGATTCTTATCATGTCTTATCTGATATCCCCCCCTCCCATACCTTTTTGAGATGTCAAAGGGGGAGAATAGCTTGATGTGTTTTGATGTGCTGCCACTATCACTTACTTTTGAATATGAAATTAACATGATGACTTATTTTGGTAGGAGTATATACTTAATGCATTTTTAAGCCTTATTCATCCTATGCACTAAGATAGGGGTAGAAAATTCAAACATGGATATTATATAATTATTTTCCTTATATATGAACACATCAATGTTTTGCCATCATCAAAAAGGGGGAGATTGTTGACCCTAAAGGTCATTCAAAGATCGTCTAATAATTTTGATGATTACAAAACATTATGAAGTGTTCTCAGTCTAATGTTTGCATTGAGCTTGCAGGGCAAAGGAAATAAAAATATGCTAAGCAACCGAGACAAAGAAATCATTTCAAGAGAAATCAAATCTACTCCGAGAATAATGCAATCATGATTGACTTGAAGACAATGGGTAGATAGATCGATGAGTGATTAGGATTTTCTGTCAAAGTAATCTATGAATTAATTTGAAGCTCAAATCTATTGGCTCATGTATTTTCATTCACATCTTTCAAGATTCTGCACTTAAAAAGAAAAATCAAAAAATTCTCCTTAGAATCTCATAACCGGTTAGGAAGTTTCATCTAACCGTTTAGATGAGCTAAAACAGAAAGTAACACATGATCGAAGGTATCTCATAACTAGTTAGGAATTTTCATCTAACCGTTTAGATGACCAAAACAGAAAGCTTGATCTTCTTATCCGTACCTTGTAACCGGTTAGAAGAATTGTTCTAACCGTTTAGATCAACATACAAAACATTGTATCTACCTTTTCATAACCGGTTAGGAGAACTCAAGTAACCGTTTACATGTATTTAAACAGAATACGATTTTTTTTTTTTAGCCAATGATATAACCGGTTAGAAGAAGCTATATAACCGGTTAGATGTGCTTTAACAGAATGAAACTTTTCTTGGCCATTGATGTAACCGGTTAGAAGAAGTTATATAACCGGTTAGATATGCGTTAACAGAACGATACTTATCTTGGTAACCGGTTAGGAAGCCTTTTGTGTTCGAATAGTTGGCCTTTACTAAAGAAGTCCCTCAGCAGATGTAATCGGTTAAGAAAAATCCTCTAACTGGTTAGATGAGATCCAATCTCACTTATTCTAATTTTTAGAAACTGAAGCAGATCGGAAGTTGATACATTTATTGCTCTAACGGTCACATAAACATTTAATGCTTTTCAACCTACCTCAATAGATATTTTTTGAGCAATTAATGCATTTCATTTTTCTTCAACTCTATAAAAAGACAAGCATTGAAGAAGGCAAGGGCGCGGTTGAGAGAATTCAAAAATATCATTCAAAACATTTACTCAAGCATTCATTTCACTCAACCATACCAACTTGAGCTTCATTTTAATCCATCTATTACTCTAGTCTTGTGAGCTTACATTTGTACATCTATCTTGAGAGAGATTCATTCTTGTATCACAACTATAATTTCTTCTACAAACTTGTAAGGGTTGGTGTAACCCAAAGAAGCCTAGAAGAAGAGTGTTCTTCTAGCAAAGAAGAGAAGCAAGTGTTTGCTTCATGTAAAGGTTTGCTCTCCACCCGTAAGGAGAAGCCATAGTGGATTGGGAAGTCTCAAGAGGGGTCTTGAGCCAAGGAGTAGGAGTTTCCGAACCTCGCTAAAATCTCCTAGTCATTGTTTACAATTTCTCTACCCTTATCTCTTTTACAATTGTGCTATTAATTGTTTACTTTCATATCTTATATGTTGCATAACTATTGGAATGGTAGAATAGAATTTTCAAATCTATAAATTACGAAAATTGGCCATTGACTCTATTCACCTCCCCTCTAGAGTCAATTAGTGGTTAACACTTTTGTTAAATGACATTGTTACATCTTGCTCCAATCATTGTGAATCTTGTTGAGCACGGTTGTATGAAGATATCAAGGCTGTGGGTGACAAGTGCTGGTCAGTTCTGAAGCTACAAAATGAAGTTACTTCTTTACCCTTGGTTTTAGGGTTTATCTCATTGTGCACCAAATGTGATCTACCTTGCTGAGTTTATTAAAGAAGACATTTGTGCAAGTGTTATTTGGCTATACAGAGCTGTGGAAGTCCATTGTTGGCTGTTCTTGGAGCTGCATTGTGAAGTTACTTCATTACCCTTGACTTTAGGTTTTTTGCCTTATGCGAGCTGTTTTGTTCTACCTTGCTTATCTACTTGTGTATTCCATACAAGCAAGTGTATTTAACTTATTCAAGGCTGTGGGAACCTAGTTTGATCATCAAGTGAAGCTGCATTGGGAGTTGACAGATCTACCTCTCTATTGCAGAAAAGTGAAGCTAGGGTTTCTTGTGTTGCTTAGGTTGTGTATTCATTCTTATCTTGTGTTGCTACTTAAGTATTCTATATTTGGTGTGTTAACACATTATTTCATTGTTGATTAGCTCTTGAGAGCTTTTGTGTCCAAGTATAGGGGTTGTGGACTGGGGAAGTGCCTGTGTGCACATTGTTGAGCTTGTGTATGTGTAGAGATTGTGAAAGTCAGTATCCTAATGAGTACAAGGCCGTTGGAAAGTGGGGCAGCTGAGCGAGTAACTACTTGCATGCACCAAGTGAAGATGGTGAGCTAGTGAGTGTGAATTGGTTGTG